TTTGATTTCCGTAGTTAAGCGTGCTCATTCTAAAAATTATGTGATCAGTGAACTCTTGGGAAGTTATATTAATATGACAAAATTGTGAGGCGTCAAGGTAGAGCAGACAATAGATCGATAGTTAAGAGTTTGAGCTATTATATTTATTAAGGTTTCATTTAGAACGATTTTCTTATGGCTTCTTAAAACAGCTTTTTAGTATAAAATATAAAATTATAGTTCTAGAAAGCTATTTTAAGAATCAGTAAAAAATTTATCACAAATAAAGCCCAGAAAAAGATAACTTTTGCTTCCAATCAACAATGCTCTTACCCATTAATCCAATAAAAAATGAGTTGGTATTCTCTTATAAAAAATTAGGATTCGAATTAGAAATTAGAAAAATGTTTTATATGATTAAAAAATGATCATGATGAATTTTCAAAATTTTGAAAATATTTTGAGATTAATATAAAATATCAATAATTTATCTTAAAAATTATCCAAGTAAAATATTTTGATACAAAAAAATTTCAGCCAGAAAGAAGAATGGCCAAATATTTGGAAGAAAAATTATCAGCCCGACATAAAATCATTAAGCAAGCACGGAATAGCTGAGCATTAGTTCTATATGGTAAATGTAAGTTTTTTCCGAACAAACTTGCAAAGTATGAGAATGTTCCTTCAGAGCTGTTTAGTTTGAAGTACAAGAGATAAAAATCATTTCAAACGTGAGTTAAATACAGATTTGCATATTTAAAGGGAGTTTTATTATTATTATTATTATTCAACATCTTGCATTATAGTACGTGCTGCTCCAATACTTTTTTTTTTGGGAAAACCCGGGACTTGAAGCCCATATATTAAGAAACTAAAAGGAAATTACAAGTAACCTGTAAAAGAAGAAAACTAACTAGTAAAAGAAACAAAATTACACAAAGACTTTGGCCAAGACAAAAAGAGACAATTGGCAAAATGCTAGACTCAGAAAGAGCACAGTCTCATTCATCAAAAGAATCAGAATAAAGCGACAGTAGACCAGGCGGTTGCACCAGTTGCCATAGATAAAGACCTGCAACAGTTGAAAACGGCCATCGCAGCACATCCAGCCTAGCCTACGATGAATCCCAAAAACGAGCCAGGTTGCCGCGCAGGCCCTCCATAGCTCGGAGAGACTGGCTTTGCTCATCATCGTCTGAATGCCAATCATCCACCCATATAGCCAGATGAAGTCTTCATAGTATCCCCGGGAAAGCAGAAATAACAAGTTCACGGTCAAACTGGAATGAGAGACATCAACAAAAACTCGCATGCCCAGAATGCTCCAGCCCAGGTCAGAAGAAAAACAGAAAAACCAAAACTTTGCAAGGCACCTGGAAAGAAAACAACGACCCAGCAGCCGAACAACAAAAAACATCCAGAAACTGAAGGTAAAAGACAGCCTCCAGCCATCAAAAACAGCCAGACAGCAATCTAATTGCTCAATAAATCTCGCATAAGTGTTGTTTTGTGTTTCCATTTCACAGTTTTCATCCTAATAGCCTCCAAAATAATGCCAATAACTTTAGCCACATTGTTTCTAGTGTCAGAGAAACGACGATTATTTCTTTCCCTCCATATGTAATAAGTGATGCAGCTAATGGCTAAGGAATAGAAATCCTTATCAGTTCTATTAGAATACTCAGAGTTCTCAATATAATCTAATGCTTGTATCAATGTAGGTCTAAGTAAAAAACTAGCAAACTTAGGCATAATAGTCTTGAGGATATAGAATGAGAAATCACAGTCAAAAAATAAATGAGTATGGTTCTCAGTATGCCCCGAGCAGAGAGAGCAATGCATAGGAGCCATGATCCCTCGTTGGCGCAAGATATCCGCAGTTTTGAGTTTGCAAATACATGCCATCCAGGTGAAACAAGCATATTTCAAGGTGAAATTCTTGTGCCATATAGTTTTATTCCAGTCAACCTTTGGTAAATGGGAATAATAAAGTTCAGTGAAATCCTTAAATAACCATTTTGCATTGCCATTCCATAAAACATCTTTGTTAACTTGAATAGCCACATTGCTGATAATGCATTGGATAGAAGGCTGTATGTTTGAAGGTAAATGCCAAGCATCATTCCAAAAAAAATCTTTAACAAGAGCATCATCCAAACCCGACAGATGGAAAGATTCCCCCACAGAATTTCCATTAAGCCACGGGTCCCAGAGAAAAGAAATGTTACTGAGATTGGAAACAGGAAAAAATAACAGCCTTTTTATTTTTGAGAAGGTCTCAGTAATGCGGTGCCAGATTTTTGAAGCAGTAGGAGTTGGGTGTTTCAGGGGGGAGATATGCTTGGCCTTGAACCAACGGCTTAGAAGATTTGGGTTGTTGTAAAACCTGCCGAGAATGGAGCAAAAAACTCCAAAATAAAGAGCGTCAATGGATGGAATGCCAAGGCCCCCAGCAGCTTTTGGAGTAATGACTTTAGACCAAGGAATGAGATGCAGCTTCCTCTCCACCAAATTGTTATGAAATAAGAACTTAGAGCAAAGTTTATTGATGGTATCACAGCAACTTTTAGGAATGATGGATCCTCTAATCCAATAAGCAATGGAGTTAATGATGGTAAATTTGAGAAATTGAACCCTACCTGCAAAAGAAAGAAACTTGTTTTTCCAACCAGCAAGTAGAGCGTATATTTTGCTCAGTAGTGGTTGAAAGTGAGAAGCTTTAAGTCTTTTCGGAGAAATGGGAATTCCAAGATAAGTGAGGTAAAGATTGATGTTGTGAATGCCAAGTTCCTCACAAATGGATTGATTGCATGGGTCATTATGAGAAAAAATGATAGCACTCTTGCTAGAATTAATATGCAGACCCGAGCAAGAGGCGAATTTTTCCAAACAGGTTTTGAGATTTTTGGCATTTTCTTTACTAGATTCACCCATCACCAATAAGTCATCAGCATACATCAAGTGATTGATGTAGAAGTTTTTGTAGCAGATACCCTTGAAGTTGTGTGAAGAAGCATTATCAGTAATGATGTTGGAAAGACCATCCATGGCAATACAAAAAAGAAGGGGAGACAAAGGACAACCTTGTCTGAGACCCGAGCTAGAGTTGAAAAATCCTTCGAGAGATCCATTTAAACAAATGGAAAAATGAACATCGGTAATGCAACCTTTAATCCAAGTGACAAAACTTTCAGGAAGACCTTTTTGTAATAGTCTTTCAATGATAAAATGTCTAGAAATAGTGTCAAAAGCCTTTCTGACATCCAATTTAGCACAAAACATTCTGTTGTTGCCTTTAAAATCTCTAAGTAATTCGGAAGCTAATAGGATGTTGTCGGTGGAGCATCTGTTTGCAATGAAACCGGATTGACTTTCATGGATAATGTAAGGGAGCACTTCTTTGAGTCTGTTGGCTAAGACCTTAGCAACAATTTTATATAGAATATTGCAAAGAGAAATAGGTCTATAGTCTGTAATGTTGGAAGCATGGGAGCACTTAGGAATTAGGGTAATAGCCGTAGCCTTAACCCCTTTCGGGAGAGATCCCGAAGAAAAGAAATTGCCAACAGCATTGTAGACTTGCAAACCAATAATATGCCATGTCTTCCTATAGAAAGCATAAGAGAACCCATCGGGTCCAGGAGCTGAGTTTTCATTACCATCAAAAACCGCTTTCCTAACTTCATCAAAAGTTAAAGGAGAAACCAGGTTATAGCTCAAATGTGGAGGAAGCAGCTTGCCTTGAGGGATGTCCAGAGGGAGTTGAAGAGGTTGAAGAGGGGTATTAAACAATCCCTCAAAGTGTTTAATGACAGCAGAGGAGATGTCTTTAAATTTAGTGAAATGACCATCAGAAGTGTGGATCTCCTTAATGTTGTTCTTATTGTTTCTGCTTCTTATATGGGCAAATAAAAAACCAAGGTCATCTTCCCCTTTAGTGAGCCACGACACCTTAGCTCTTTGAGATAACCACGAGGTCCAATGATTTTGCAAGGATGCAAGCTCCTCATTAATACTTTTCAGATTCTGGTTTAAAACCAAATCAAGAGGAAGAGATTGTAGCTGAGCCAAACATAGGTGTTGCCTACTTTTGCTTTCCATAAGAGCATTAGAGAGATGTGAGGAAGATGCCCAGATTCTATTTTTTAGTGACCTTTTGAGAATTTGGAGGCTATGAGTAAAAGAAGCCATGGGGCTTCTAGCCGATCTGGATGAGAATGCAGCAAAAACATCATCCCAAAAACCCTCCATGTTAATCCAATAATTTTTGAACATAAATCTGGAAGATAAAGCCTTGTCATGAGATGAATTAAAAATGAGTGGGGAGTGATCCGAACCAAGGTGGGATTCCACACAATAATAAGCATTGGGAAAAACATCCAATAAGGCATTGTTCACCAGAACACGATCTAACTTGATGTGAATGGGATTGTCCACTCTTTGATTGAACCAAGTGTAGAAAAGACCTGTAGAAGAGAGGTCTTGCACCCCACTATTAAAAATGAAGCTATTGAGTTCACCCAATCTACTGGAGGAAGAAATAGATCCACCAGCTTTTTCAGTATCATATCTATAGCAATTAAAATCACCCATAATGATCCAAGGATGGTCCATATTGGTGGAAACAGCAATGATCTGATCCCAAAGGTATTTTCGTTCCTCCGCAGAATTAGCAGCATAAATAACAGTAAGAAAAATAGGAGGGAAAGATCCCACCGAGAGTATACCGTGAATGTGTTGGTATGAAGAGGAAATAGGGTTGAAGGATAGAACTGACTCATCCCATTTTATCCAAATCCTGCCTAAAACAGCGTCACCAAAATTGTTGCAGCTGCCTTCATTCTCAAAAAGACAGTGAGAATGATGAAACCACTGGTCATTAAAAGAAGAAATAGAGACTTTTGCTTCTAAAATGCATAACATCTTGAGATTCAAAGAACTAATCAGAGACTTACAAAAACTGACTTTATCAGGGTTATTAAACCCCCTAACATTCCAGCTTGCAAACTTGGGTAAGGACATTAGGATTTTTGACCTTTGGCCTTCTTGGCCGATTTAGCTTTAGGGGGCTTTGACTTTTTGGGAGATTTTCCTCTATCAACAGAGGATCTAGTGTTGTGCCCGACCGATTCAGAGAGATTCTGATTTTTGGATGATGGGGAAGAGTCCTCCTCAGCAATAGTGGTGGAGGTCTTATCGTTTTCGGAAAAAGACTCAGATGAATCAGGAGGTATGAGTTCTTCAGTTTGTAAAGAAGAAAACTTGTTCAAAAGAGGGATTTTTTGGGGTTGAATTAGGACTGGAGAGGAAGGAAGACCGGAAGAAGAAGCTTCTTCAGTTGGAGAATTGAGATTGGGTAGGAGTGCTATTTTAGCAGGAGAAGTGGGCGGGTTTAGTTGCAAAGCTTCTGAAGCCAGAAGGGGGTTATTGGGTGCAGAGTTAAGATTTTGCAAAGCAAGATTATCCAACGGCTGGACCTCAGGATTAGGAGTGGGTAACAGAGCAGCAGAAGGGTTGCTAATCTGTAGGGGGGTATTGGACTTTGAAGGTGGAGCGAGAACAGTAGGCTGTGAAGAGGATGGACGACTGTGCGGCGGTCTCGAAGTGCTACGACCGCGACTTTTAGGAGGTTTAGGAGGGAGAATAGGCTTGGGGTTTGGATTTTTGGGACAGAGTGAAAAAGGATGTATCAAAGATCCACAACCTTCACATTTTTCAGGCTTCCAGTCATATAAAACAGTTAAAGTTATATCTTCGCCTTCTATTTCAATCGGGATTTCATCCGGTAAAGGTGAATCTTTTGAAATAAGAACACAAATCCGCGCAAACGTTAATCTAGAACGATTTGCAGTGAGCGCATCAACAGAAATAGGAATACCAACATAGCTGGAGATTTTAGAAATACCAGTTGGCGTCCAGAGAGCCAGGGGGAAGTCGACGATTTTTATCCATACCGGAATAAGAGCATCCTCGTCGCGTTTGGGCTTGAATTTTGGTGACCATCGCTGCAGGATGAACGGCTTGCCGAGCGGAAACCAAGGTCCGCCTGACAAAACCGACTCGAGATCTTCTTCAGTCGAGAAATTGAGCAGGAAGAAACCATCCGCAAGCTACAGAAGTTTCATGGATCCTTTTAATTGCCAGAGGTTCATCATAGCTTTAAGCAACCGCTCATAGTAGGGTCGAGGTCCCAAAGAATAACCGATAAGCGCCGAAGTCCAGATGGACTTCCCTTCCGACAGATCGTCAGATTTGAAAGAAAGCTTTTGGCTAGGGGAGAAGAAGGAAACCGGAAAAGGAGCGGGTTTAGCAGCCGAGGCCGAAACATTAGCAGCATATGAAAGTCCTCCAGGAAGAGGAGAAGGCGCGGTGGATGTGGAAATCGGAGGGAAATGTAGTGAAGAGGAAGCCATCGGGAGGGAGAAGCCCACCCAGGAGAGGAGAGGCGGAGGGAGTACGCAGGCGGCGTAAACCTTAAAACATATCGCAAACCCTAGCAGAGCATATGATAGTTCCAAACGGCGTCCTTTCTCCAGAGTTCTTCTAGGATAATGTCTTATAATAAAGTGCTTTTTTAATTCTAGCACAAGTGGTAGATAAGTTTTCAATTATATCACCAAACTTCCTAGCATTCTTTTCCCTCCAAATGAAGAAGATGGAGGATGTAGTAATTAAGAAGAAATATTTTTTTTGCATCTTTCCCAAAGCGATCTATTTCATAAATATAAGTTAATATTTGCATAAGGCTAGGCCTGAGAGGGAAATTTTAAGTAAAAATAATAATGCTTAAAGAATATGCCATTCAAAAACTAGATATGCATAGGACTCCTCAAATTCAAAACAAAAGGTGCAAAAAGGTAGAGAGTGTATAGTTCATTTTATCAAAACATCAGCCATTTTTAAACCCCGAAAAAAGGTAGCCATGCAGAAGAAGAATATCTAAGCAAGTATTTCATATACCAGATGAATGAATGCAAGGAACTAGCATGATGACTTTGGTAGAAATCCTCAAGAAAATTTTTAAAATTTGGATTGTGATTTTTCTTCCATGTGATGCAGTTTTCATAATTATCGACAGTAACGAAAATGTCATTATTAGCATTTTTAGTGTTCTAAAGAAGAGCATATAGAAAACGACGGCCTTAGATGATTTGGTCACATAAAACGACGGCCTTTCGATGACCCGGTTAGGAGAGTAGAGGTATTAGATTTGACTTATGTTAAGAAAGGTAGGGGTAGACCTAAAAAGACTTGGTTAGAAAATATTAGGAATGACCTTTCTTTATTAGGTTTAAATGAGAATTTGACTTTTAATAGAACACAATGGAGAAAAAAGATTCATGTAGCCGACCCCACGTAGTGGGATAAAGGCTTGATGTTGTTGTTGTTGTTGTTGTAAAGAAGAGCATATACAAAATCCATCAATTTTTATCTATAAAATTAGAAACATGGGCATCATGAGCGATGGAAATAGATAATTGTTATTTCACAAGCAACTTAAATAGATTCATGCCTGCCTTAAGCTAGGGATCCGAAAGTAAAGAAAGCTTAGATATATGAGTAACATTAAATAAAATATTCCTTAACACTACACTCAACTAAAGTGATATTTTTCCATAAACCTAATGCATTTGGAGCTCCCTTCTTCTAAGGAGATAAGTAAACCCTCCTACACCAACCAACAAGTAAAGAGTTAGAATTAACCAAATGCCAAATAAGAGAAGTAAAATGCATGTGTGAGAGCTTGAACAACTGGTTTACCTAATTCATCTAGCGCTATAGGAAGATAAGTTCTTTTCTAAGAAAGAAGTTTCATTTTCTTTCTCTCAAAGTTCCCATGATATAGGAATTTAATATATGCCTTGTCAATGAACTTACAATAGCTTTTAGGTAAAATTGAACACCTAAACCAATGAACTACTGTATTATATATAGTAAATCAAATAAACTTACGTTTACCTACAAAAGACAATAGCTATCTTGCCAACAAGCAAAATGGTTGTTAATTTTCTTAATAAAGGGTAGGAAATCATTAATTTGAAGCCTTTTTTTAAGAAATAGGTATGCCAAAATATTAGAAAGTCTAGTCAACATTAAAGATATTGGGAATATTGCAACTCTCACTATGGTTAGTAACACCTTAAGAAATGCTGATACAAATTTTCCTTGGTTTAATAAATAGTCCTAAAACTAAGTTAAGTGTGGCAGAGATCAGGATGCTCAGGGGGATGAGTGGCTTTACCCTTATAGATAGGATACTAAATGAGCATATACGTGAAAAGGTTGGAGTAGCTCTAGTAGAAGATAAGATTAGAGAGAGTCAACTTAGATGGTTTGGTCACATAAAATGGCGGCCTTCCTATGACCCGGTTAGGAAAGTAGATGTATTATATTTGACTTTTGTTAAGAAAGGTAGAGGCAGACCTAAAAAGAGTTGGTTAGAAATATTAAAAATGATCTTTCTTTATTAGATTGTAATGAGAATTTGACTTTTAATAGGACCCAATGGAGAAAAAGGATTCATGTAGCCGACCCCACGTAGTGGGATAAAGGCTTCTTATTGTTGTTGTAATAAAGAGTCCAAAAAAAATCCAAAATCATTCATAATTCTCAAAAGCACAAAAGTATTGTTCTTTGAGCTCTCACCAAAAATTAGGAGATTATCCACATATAAAATTTCATAAATATGTTGTCTCCAAGCATGTATACTCGTAAAAGTGTTGGGCCCAACAATATTATCCCAAATGATTAGACTACCCATCCATCACAATACAAAAAAAGATATGGGGTTAATGGGCATCCTCGTCTTAGCCCAAAGTTTTAAGTAAAATAACCTTATTAATCCCCTTCAATGCAAATGGATAAATTAACATCAACAACACAAAATTTAACCCACGAGATAAAAAGAGGTGGAAGACATTTCTGAAGCATTCTTTGGATAAGTAAATTCCACCAAATCATATCAAAAGCTTAAAAATATATATACCTTTTGCCATAAAAAAGTTTTTCGTAACCAAGCATAGATAGATTTATTAACAAATTTGATGCAAGTAAAATGTTATCAATATAGCTTCTTTCTTGAATAAAATTAACCTGGGCTAAATTAATTATTTGGGGCATAACTTGCTTTGATCTATTAGTAAAAATACGTGCAATAATCTTATAAAAAGTATTACAATGAAATAGGCTTGTAATATGAAATACTTGAAGCATGAGGGCTCTTGGGAATTATGGATCGAGTAGTGACTTTAACTTTATTTGACAAATAAGTATTAATAAAGAAATATCTAACATCTTTGCAAACATAATAACCAATGCTTCCAAAAGTAGATTTATATAATTTGAATGTGAAGCCATCTGGGCAAGGAACAAAGAATCGGGGTGTTGAAAAAAAAAACCATTTTGATTTCATCATTTGTTATAAAACCAATTAGAGCAGCCTGAAGGTGTTGGGGAACAATTTTCTCGACATGTATGAAGGAAATATAATTAAGACATCTGTTGAAAGAATTAAAAAGGCATTTAAAATGATTTATGATAGAATTATATATCTCATTATTGTAAAAAACTTATCCATCAACTGTAGATAATTTCTTTTATAAGATTGTAATTCCTTCTTGATTTAATTTTATAATATAGAAGCTACAAATCATCATCAACACAAGAAAGCTATTTGGATTTGGACGTTTGATATACACCCAAGATGACTAGGAGTAAGATGTAGAGAGAAGTAATTCATTTATATTCTTCAACTTTGCATTCAATTCAAGATTAGAAGGTTCTAACTGAATTTGCTATATATTCAACTATTGATGTTACATTTGAAGTGATTAATTGTTGGATGGTAATTGATTAGAGGAAGCCCATGGTTTAATTTTAATTATCAACTTAGTAAAAGTTTGTTAGGGATGTTAACCCCTTATAAACTAGTCCCAACGCTAACCAAGAGGGGAGTGAATTGGTATTTAAACATTTCTCCAAACAAAAATACAAACACATCCGAACCAATATTCACCATAAGAGAAATGAAGTGTGGAAATTAAATGCTGAAGAATAATAAGAAAAAACATACCAAATTTTATAGTGGTTTGATCAACTTGACCTACATCTACTCCCCGAAGCCTCTCCTCCGAGTATTGCACTAAACTCAGTGTCTCTCCTTTTGCCTCCACAGCAAGGCGAAGAAGCCCGTACAAAAACTCCTTTCCACCGACCCCAGTGAGGCAGAGAACCCAACTCCTTTTGCTTCCTCCTAAAGCAGGAAGAGAACTCAAATCCTTTTGCTTCCTCCTGAAGCAGGCAGAGAACCTTGATAAGTTATTGAAGTAGACCTCTCTCGAACCTCTAAGGAATCAGGGATGATGACTAGAGAAGATGAATCGGATCCTTGCTTGGGGAAACCTTTGTGAAACCCCTCACAAACTCCCCCTCACAAGATCTTCTCTCTCTCTTCTTGGCTCTCTTAGGTTAGGGCAGCAGCAAAAGATCTCCTCTTAAGAAAACAATAGATCTTTTAAACAAGGGCTCCTAATTAATGCTAGTTAATAACTAATCATTAAATATCATTCAGGACAATCTTCCGTTCATCCTGTATGATCAGTTCAAATTTAGCTCAATCAGCCAAGATAATTTGGAAGAGTCTAGATGATTAGAAGGTTACTTTGTTTAGATCATTCAGTATGATAGGATATCATCCTGTATGATTAGTTCAATTCGTTGAATATAATCTAGACCATCGCCCTGGATGGGTGTCTGGATGATGGAAAAATAATTAGATCATCCAGGATGATCTCAAGATCATCCGGGCCGAGTAGTACAATACGATAAATATCATCCAGAACATCGCCCTGAATGGATTTCTAGATGATGAAAAAATAACTTAATCGTCGAGGTCAATCTCACGATCATCCTGTATGATTAGTTCAATTCAGTACATATCATCCAAAGCATCGCCCTAAATGGTGCCAGGCCGATTATGGATCATCTAGGAAGAACTAAGGTTTGTGAACTAATTATCCTAAACGATCCTGTGATCTTTTAGGATGATATGATCGAGCAATTAAATCTTCATTGCTTTTCTTAATTACCAGATAAATTTAGGCATAATTGCACTAAAAAACTTTTCATTCTAGAGCTCTTGTCCAAGAGCTCCACCAAAATAATAGGAGAGCTAAAGGTGTTGGATAACTGGAGCAATTGTGTGAATCCTCTCACACCCGTTGACTTCATTAAGGCACTCTCACTTAACCACACATCCTCTCTCTCCCTTGTGATGTGGATAATCGCCAAAGTTTTCTCTTAAAGTTAAAAAACAAAACTTCTCTGACTACTCAACTTGGAACCCTAATCTCTTAGAAAAAATTAAAGTGGAAAATTTTAATTAAAAATCTAATTTTTAAATTACTTGATATGA